CTTGCTCGGATTTCAGCTACTCAGAGGAGACTTGAGGTATAACTGCACGACGTTCGCAGTTCTCAAGTCCTCGTCTACTTTACTTTAGATGTATGTTTGTTTCCAGACAACTTTATTTTATTCAGACTTTTATTTGTATTTATTCTAAAAATCCGTGTACTTGTGATACCAATTCTGGGATGGTATTTAGATACTGTTGTTTTCATGAATTATTTACTATATTTTAGACTTTACTTCCGCATTTGTTATTTGTTATTAACAAATTCAAAAATTATTTTAAAAATGGATAATATTATTCTAACATTGATTTATCTAGCAAGTGAAATATTAGGCGTTATCACGGTCTGAAGATGGGAATTTCGGATCATGACAGTGCAGCATCATTTTTTAATGATCCGAACAACATTGGGAGTATCAACGTTTTTGAAATCTAAGCCTATCTCCACCAGTATGTCCAAGATGTACTTCGTTTATGGGATAATAACACTTGTCTTGGATTGTATTGCCTCGATCCTTTAAAAACACTTCAATTTTTCTAGATATTTGGTCTGAAAATGACTGAACGAGTGTTTTTTGAGTAAAAAAAAGCCTTCCTGGTCATTGCTTATAATGACAATTTCATCCAAATAGACTACCAATAGATATCAATTATCATGACCATCCCTTCTCAAATCAATTATCATGATCATCATGTCTACAGTGGAAATATAAGCTTTCACTTCGAGACGGCGCGGATCTACGTAGGGGATTGGAGGTACTACCTCACTCGATCGCTCTGGTAAAATTGTATACATATACTAGTATTTTTCTCAAAATATTAAATATATATAACGAGTGACACCCCAAGTTCGGGTGCCACGGTTAAAGCACTAAAACTCCACATAAAATGGCAAGGATTCCGACTTTGTTGTGGTCCTAGTTGTTTTGTTGTTATCTTTTTCCCTTCCATTTCTTTTCTTTATGCTTCTTCTTTTAATTTCTTCACCATTGTTATTTACTCTATTTGTACAATCTCCTTTTTATTATTTATTTAAATTGTATATTTTCTTTCTTTTTCTTTTTTTAGATCTTCAATTTATTTGAATGTGATTTTAATCATTTCCTCTTTTTATCCATCTAATATTATTTTATTAATTTTAAAAATTAGAGTGATGCATGAAATACATAATATTAATCGAGCTATATGTAGATTTAAGTGGTGTATTTCCTAATTTAAAATTTTATTTTTCTTTATATTTTGTAATCATATTAATCGAATTTGAACCTAGAGAATTAGACCAAATTGGACAGAACTTATTCGAGTTTGTGATCACATATTCATTTATGCATAAAATAATTTTAAATTGAATTGAATTGAATTAATTTAAAACGGACCGAACCGAACCGAATTAATCAAAAACGGATCGAACAGACTAAATGTATACCCAAGTTCAATCTCTTCACTATGGTCGGTTTGCATTAAAAGCAGTGGCACCGGAGGCATTCATAGAACTTTTGTAAGTGGTGTCAAAATTTATAGAAGAACGGGAATAATAACTTTAATTACTATACTTCTACACAAGAAATAGCTTTAGTCTATTAGTTTTGTTGAGTCTTAAGTCAGAAAAAATCCTGAATTAAATTCTAACCAATATCAAGCACATAACCAATATGCCAAGAGACAAATTACGTCAAGTGGTGTCATTTGTTCCTACTTATCCGCTTCCTCACAGTATTAATACATATATTTAGCAAAAACATTCGACGAAGCGGTATCGCATGATACTGCTTCGATAAATGTGCATCCCTGAGTGGCACCCGTAACCATCAAATCCTGGATCTGCCGCCTCTGCTTAGAGATATCCCGACTTGTTGGAGCACATAACTGAACCTTTCAAACCATGTTATCCGGAATTGTTTCAAACTCGTGACCTTCACAGACGCATACCAAGCTTGGCTGCCTAATATGAAAAACCTTGGTAGTTAATCTTCTTCCCCAATCTGCACGAACTCGTCTTTATACTAGACAAGCAGATAAAGATGTGGAATAACAATCTAGAGGAGTTAGTCTGATTTATAACCATATTGTTTCTACAAGAAAAGAGAGTGAAAGATTGGTCCCCACAAGGGAATTTTTCAGATGAACAACCATAAAACCCCAATTGTGGTGTCCCTTCTCTCTTACTCGCACTCACAGTGCTCACCCTGCATGTAAAGATATATTCGCTTTCACATCTTCTTGACCCAAAATGACATTTAATTTTAGAGGACATCCAAAAGACAATAATAGATCTCGTCTTTAATATTAATAAAGAAATATCGATGCTTATGATTCAGTAGTTGGCTGCAAACCTTACACTAAAGAAGAAAGGCCGCATTAAGAATACTTTGATTGCACTGCATATGCAGTACTTCTGAGTGATGTTATCATTTTTCTCCCCGTCAAGATATTAGGTTAGATCACTGGGGATTTCCTGATCAGAGGGTTATTTGCAGCTGAACTTTATTTTTAAGTTAATTGCTAGCTGTTTGAGACAATCATTTAATGCATCACAAAAAGTAATGTTACTCTCACTGTTAGAATGTAAATAATGCTCATCTACAAGTTGTGCTTGCAGCATCTAAGGTGGACCCATTGCACCTCGAGTATTTCTGCTTCTCGGGTAGTATGACAAGAGTGGGTTGCTCTAGTGGTGAGCACCCTCCACTTCCAATCAAGAAGTTGTGAGTTCGAGTCACCCCAAGAGCAAAGTGGGGAGTTCTTGGAGGGAGGGAACAGAGTTTCTATCGGAAACAGTCTCTCTACCCAGGTTAGGGGTAAGTTGTTGTTTTTGTTGTTGGGTAGGATGATTGCATTGGCTTTAATGCATAAAATACAAATTGGCGTAGTGTTCGATCGTGTGTTCATTTTGCAATTGGCTGGAGAGGAAATTTCATTGGAAGACATTAGGGATGCAGATCCATACTTGTACAGTAGCTGCAAACAAGATACTGGAGATAGATCCTGAGACGGTGGATCAAGATATACTAGGCTTGACATTTGTTTGTGAAGTTGAAGAGTTAGGGTCCAGGAAAGTGGTCGAGCTTTGTCTCGACGGGAAAGATACTGTTGTGAACAGTAAGAATAGGAAGAAGTATGTTAATCTACTTATTCAACATTTGTTTGTCACATCAATTGCTCAGCAGGTAGCCCATTTTTCTCAAGGTTTTGCTGATATAACTACCTCAAGGCTCCAAATATCCTTTTTTCGGAGTTTAGATCTTAAAGATCTTAACTGGACGCTTGATGGGAATGGAAGTGCGGTTTCTGTGGAAGACTGGAAAGCACATACAGATTACAAAGGCTACAAAGAAAGTGATCCCCAAATATCCTGGTTCTGGAAGGTACATGAAGTCAGTATATTCTCGCAATATTTAGACTTTAAACTTTCACCCTTCTTTTCTTCATTATTTTTAAAAGCAGAAACTTTCTGACACTGAAAATTCATTTTATTCAAAGTTGCACTGGCAGCATTTGTTTTGGGGAGTTGGGAAAGTACATACTGATTTTTTTTATTTACCAGCTTTTCTACTGGTAGCAGATGTTTTTGCCTTAATAACGCTTGATAAAAACGACACGGTTGAAGCATGAACATCACGGAATGGATATGGATCCCAAATAAATTGATTATTGTAAGCTGGAATAAGTTGTTGTCACTCTGAATATTGTGAAGACAAACCTCAAGTGTTAGGACATCTATGATTCATACCAATAATGTTTGTTTTCTTTCATTGCGTGCAGATAGTTGGGCGTATGTCTGCTGAGCAGAGAAAGGTCCTCCTTTTCTTCTGGACTTCAATTAAGTATCTACCTCTAGAGGGTTTTGGTGGTTTGGCTTCTAGACTTTACATTTAAAGAAACCTCGAAGTCTTATGATCACTTACCTTCTGCACAAACATGCTTCTACCGCATACGCTTTCCTCCCTATCAATCCATGGCTGTAATGCAAGATCGACTCCAGGTAATCACCCAAGAGCATGTTGGTTGCAGCTTTGGTACCTGGTAACATCTACCAATTTTGGGATTGAACTTGCACATAATCAGCTTGTACATGAAGTAGGATATACTTACCTATTTAAAGTTTGATGTTTATGGTCTAGTTTTGTTTCCCCTCTCTACATTGCTGAAGCTCATACTTTCAACTCAATGACAAGTTAGAAGAACTAACTGAACTTTGCTTACTTCTTGCTGAATGCAAGCCCTTTCTTTTTCCTTATCAACTTTTATAGAATATAGAGGTATCGGATCTATTGATAAAGAAAGAAGTTCCAGTCCATCTTGTTTTCTCTATGCATTGTCAGTTTCATTTTTTTATTTTTTTTTTCCCCTATTAGTTTGTGTTTACATGGTTGATTGTACTTTCCAGCCTCTCTTTTTTTCATCAATGGTGTATGGAGGTATATTTTCCACGCGTGAGTAAGTCTCATTCTCACTTGAATTCAAGTACAAAAACACTAGAGTTGTAAATTTGTTGGTTGGCATCTGTATTACTTATTCCGTATCTGGATATCATTCTCTCCGTCATCTTCCTCTTCTCCAATCTGCATTTACTCGTCTTCTACCAGAGAAGCAGATAAAGATGTGGAATAACGATCTACAGGAGCTAATCTGATTTATGACCATATTTCAAGGTGTTTCTATTTGTACAGCATTTTGCTAAACCATTGTTATGTATGTATTTATGCAGCTAGCAGTGCTTCATACTTATTTAACTTTTCTATTGTACATATTGAACCTTTTCCTTTTTGATTAGGCATCTAATGTAATTCTTGTATTCCAGTCCAAAATTTCTGAGTATTGCAAACTTGCAAGTTTGCATCTATATTTTCACTTGTGCTGTGTCTGCATATCATTCTTCTATGTGATATCTCACCTCTTCAAAATGGCATTTTTTCCTGAAGTTCATTCAATCAGTTAAAGGCCAAACAAGTCAACTAGTCGGGATTGTCCCGCACTCGTCGTTTACAAAAATCCACACTAATTTAAACATGGTTAACTAATAAACTAAAGTAAAATGTCATTAATTAACTATGGACCAGTGATAACAGTGTATATAAAGACGTGTCAAGTATTCATTGAGTTGGTATAAAGAACAGATACGTTTTTACCTGTCCCATATCTTATACATCTAAAAGCTTTCTGAAATGAAATGCTATTCAATTATTCAATATGTACACAACAAAATAAACATTACCATAACTCGCATATTACACACCGATGACATCAGTTTTTGGTTAAACACAGCAAATTTCTAAACCAAACAGGCTCTTTCGACCAAGACATTCTTCTATGAAATAGGTGAATTCCCTCTTTGGACAAAATCAAAAGGGCCTAAACAACATGTCAAACATGCAAAAGAAAAGCAAAAACCACAATGTTGAAAGAATGAAATAAATGGACAGTAGCAAAAAATTACAATAAATTTCTGACAAAATTGTAAACTAGCTATTTTAAGAATCAAGCTTGGCCAATGAGACGATGCCTTGTCATTGTGATAAAGTTGGAGGTGACTCATCGTTTTTTGATAAAGTGTTGTCCAGTTTAACTTCGCGAATCCCGGCTATACCACTACTACCCGCTGTCTTGCACCAGTACAGGGACCGAATAACTCTGTCCACCAAAACTTAAGCAGATGGAAAGAAGTCACCTAGTTGGAGGGGACTCATCGTCTGGAGGCACAGACGACCCAAAATCAATATTTGGATACACACCACGAGGTTGTTCTCGAGGTTGTATAGAGAACAACTGGCTTGAATCACCTACCACATCTGCCCACCCATAGTGAGGTTCATCCCTTAAATAACAAGTACGTCATTTTACTTAGATGTATCTCGTGACATAAAGGAAAACAGGAAAACATAGCTTCATAATTCACAAAATTCGCTCATGAGGGAAGCCTTACTGTATATGAGCGAGTCTCACTTACTCATAATATGTTGCTTCATCTACAACCATGTCCCAGCTTTCGCCTGTTGTGCTCTTGCCAAATTTGTGCACTTTGCTGATTCATTAAAAAAAATAGGCTTAACTTGAGTCATTTTTATATTAAATCATTTGTTTTTAAATTAGGAAAACATATCGAGGAAGTGAACATGCAACTTGCAAGATATCATAGAACATAACGAAATATTAGATTTATAGTCATGAAATACCCATTTCCAAAGTGCTCCTCTCCCCATGTCCTTGACCACCCTGGATAATTAGAAGGAAAAAGTATTAGGTTAAGTGTCACATTAATTTTTCAAGAAATGAATAATTTGCCCCTAAATCTGAATATAGTTAGCATCTTTAAAATAATAAATTCAGGAAATCCTTGACATCAGAACTTACAGACGTAGAAACTGATATATTTTGGATGGATTCCCTTCTAGCTTGAACAATCACTTATTGTAGGAAATTAAGTTGTGCAAGACCATTTCATAAAATGTTAGCATGTTTAAAAGAAAATGAGTATACGACAATTACAAGCTGCTGTATGTTGATTTTCCCCCTATATTGCCAATATATACATACCCTTACCTCCACAAGTAATTCTGGTTAGCTTTTCAATCATTTTCTTGTTCTGATTAGACTTTTCAATCTTTTCTTACATCTACTTGAACTGCAGTACACATTCTTGTGAAATAGATAACTATCACGTTCTTTTTATTTTCTTATGAGGTGGGTGGATTCCATTTTGTAGCTGAAGTTTCATTTTAACAAAAGCTTCTGATTATTGGGTTTTCGTTTCAACACCATAGTCCGTTCCGATAAGTCAAAGGTAAATGTCAACACCCTAGTACTTTAAGGAGACAAAAAATGTGCAATCCAAGTTGACAACCAAGAAAAAACAAGATAGGACCTACTTTCACTGCTGGGTGATGCATGCCAAGTCTCCCCTTGTCGTGAACCAATGCCGCCAAAAAATTTCTCCTCCCATTTATCTCCCCATTTCGTTCCCAGTTCAGTTTCTGCCCACTTGTCCGTCCTGAGAAAAGGAGTAAGAAAATTCTGTAAGCAACCAAAACCCCTTTTTTCAGTGCCTCGGAACATGGAGCAAGCTTGAAGAAAGTTCTCAACCATTTCACAAGGTGAATAGGTCATAAAACAAGCAGTTAAGCACGTTATCATCTTATAATGCCATATCATTAACCTAATTGCACTATTACTGAAGGTGTATGTCTCAGCTTTCACATTCAAATATTGTCGAACAAAGTTATAAAATAAGTTGAACTTCCTATTCAGGATGGTGGTTTATTAAAAAAGTTAAAATTTTTAGAAGTTTTGTATTTAGATGTTGCCTCTTAAAAAGATTACCCAATGAAGGGTATCTTGAAAGTACCTAAAATACAGATATTTACTTGACCCATTAAATAGAGTATCGTATAATCTATTAGATTCAAAAACCCGGAAGAAAAAATGTTTGATGACAAAATGAAGTGAAAAAATACAGGTGTTTTTTCCCAAACACAAGTCAAAAGTTTCAATTGCATGTAGATCCTACTTGAGAGGGGCCCCCTCAGTTGAGAAGATACCAGCAGCACGACCAATTTTTATTTCATCCCCCCATCAAATTCTGGAACTTGAGTTTGTTTTCCCCATTAACACATATAGCATAAGAGATATTCATCATACAAAGTATACATGTGACATAGGATGTAAGTTGTTCAAGGCAAAAACAGACTCTAGGATTTTCAACCAAATGTGCAAATGGTTAGCACTTAGCAATGCTTACATGAAAAGTCAACTTTTACCAATCGAGGAGTCTGGAACCCAAAATGAGTAATGGCAAAGGAAAAATAAGATACCATTTAAGGACAGATCCTCTTCCATCATATTGCTCTCCCCATTTCTCCCACCATGACTGTTCATTTAGTCTACCATATTTGTGTGCCCCTTTCTCTGTCCAACCCTTTGCGTCATATTTTTCCGACCTGCATTGAAGTAATGTGCTCTAACAACATAATTGCAGGTAATTCATTGTTCATAACAGCATGATTATGAATCTTCCATTTCTCAAGTCTTACCAATTCTCATACCACCCGGCATTCTCCGTGCCTGATTTTGCTTGTTTTTGTGCACTCCTTTCTATCCTAGCTAGATTGCTGCAGTAAAAACATTCAGCATTATATATTTATAATGGCTTTGTCAAAGCATAAAATCCAGTTATGTTACACCACAACATAACCAGGAGAATTCAGCAGCTTATAAGATCACAGAAAGTTGGATAACATATATACAACCTCCACTCATCTTGGTGAAGAACTTCCTGCCATGTTTCCAACCACGAATCTCCTTCAGCATTTTTTCCAGATTTTTCTGCACCTGCCAATCGTCAAACAAAATAAATCATGATTTCCCAGAAGAATAAACTGAAAATTGTTTGACTTCAAAATAATACTCAAATCAATGCTTAAAATGGATATGACATAGAGAACTTGGCCAAGTGAAGTAAACTGATACAACAACAAAAATTAGCATTACCTAGTTCTTTGTAACCAGTCCAGTCGCTTTTTTCCCACCACTGTCAAGGAGATCAAGAAATCCAATTAAATGCATCCACCTGGGATGATACTAGATAAGGTTATAAAATAATGTCAACAAAATACTATTGCAATCAGCAATGATCTAGCATCATAGTATAGGCTTACAAACTTGTGAATAGGACAAACTAGAAAAGCCGCAAAGGATATTCCTAGATGCAGATCACTAGCTTTTCTCCAAGTACCCATTAGTTCCTTAACTCTGAGGGGAAACCTTAACAGAAAAGCTCAATAATGTGCAAGCATCCCCAGGCTCTAACCAGAATATGCACTGCTTTCAAATAGAGGACAGAAGTATGTTCTGAGATAGAAAGACCGTCCACAGATTCCCTTGTTAAGAAAATTATTCACAGGTACCCAGAAATCCATCCTAACCAGTACTGAAAATTAATGTTCTCTAAATGCTAAACGTGAAAACTTCCTAGAGTTCTTGACTAGCAAAACCTTGACTTATGTTTCTTCTGGTATCAATATAATTAAGTGTCCCCAATCCTCATTGTAAGGGTATCAGCATGAGTTGAATGTACTTAAGTACCTTTATCTCCAGAGTTAATATTTTTTATTCTTGACTAATAACTAAACAGAAGTGTAGAGGGGACGTAGTGCAATGAGGATAAAACTATTTACAGTTACATAGTACATTAACAATATATTGTGAACATAAAAAATGGCATAATTTGATGCCAAAGATGTAAAGTTGATGCCTTAATTACTAGTAGCGTTATCAGCTTCCCAAGTTCAATTGTTCAAACGTTTTGGTCTCTCATGTGTACGTATATCTAGTTTTGCCGCAAAAGGTAATTTTTAAACAGTCATTGAGGCACTAGTTTTTTTTATTTTTAAAAAAATGGATCTTTGATGATGGACTCGAGAATTTACATAGTTGAACACTCAGTCAATTTAAAATGTGCTACATGTAAGTGCTTGGCAAAGTGTTTCCATGAAACATGTTGGCTGACTATAGTTCTTCAACACAATCTTATAGCAACATGACTATAAGGACATATGTACCGTTTCTTTCCATTCTGAGGTACCATCATGGCTCTGCCCACCCATCCTTGTCCATCGGCATCGGTATCCATTGTCACCAATATCTTCTCCACTCTTCCTATACCAAGTACTGCCATCTTCATTAGTCCCAGATTCATTGACATTCTCGTTCTGCAGATTGATGCCCCAATCTTTCTCGTTAGCAATACCGGTGTCTGGAGAAGGAAGCAAAAGTTAGAAAATTATGATCAAGTACCACTAAGACCCTTGCATAACTAGAGTAGGCGACTGAATCTGGAAACAACCATGAATCTTATGAAAGCCAAGAACTAAGAAGGTTAGAATAACTAATACCTCGTTTTGGTGGAGAGTCATGAGACTGAGGGCCTGAATTTCTTGGGGTGCAGCGTGGAAAGAATTGTTCTTGCTTTGAAGCAGATCGCGATCTACGGAGTAAAAGTCTATTATGAACGGACAAAAAAACCAAGCAAACATTGGTTTGCAATCAATCATAGCAAGACGAGTCAATTTGAGGCTAAAAAATTGAAAACATTTGTTGATAAATATATTTAATTATTTAGAATGTAATACAACCTTAGTTTATTCTATTTTGCAGGCTAAATGACCCCACAGCAATTTGACATTTGACTTGACTTAGGTTGCTTTCTATCACGCGAGCTTGGTTGAAAAGATTGTAGCAAAGTGTGGGAGCAGAGGCATTGTCAAGCTACAAACCTAAGCTGAGCTCGACTTAGATATTAATTTATTAAACGATCCACCAAGCCTGATCTCGTTGAATAGTTTAGATAACATGATTTTCAGTTTGCACTATTTATCAAAAGCAAAAAATGATGAATACAACTCATATGCTACATTGATAGTAGATCATTAACAATGATAAACAAGTAGAATGTTTTGCTCCTACAGGAGTGATCTAGCAGTTGAATCCCTAAGAGAAGATACTACTGTAAATCTTTACCATCTGCCCACGTCTTATTGAGAGAATTACTCAATAACTATGCGAGTGAGCTAGTAGGTATCTGGTGTACAAATCGAGATGGGCACAAGCTGACATGGATGACAACATTACAGAAAATAAAAAGTCTGAATTTCAACTAAACTACGTTCTTGACCAATTTAATTGACTGACTCCTTTACATCCTCATATGAGGAAGGTTGTAACTCCTTTAAAATGCATTGCCATAGTGCACTGTTAATGAAATACTTTTACTATGCCTATAAAAGAAAAAAGAGCCTATGCACTAGTAAGCTTTAAATGACTGGAAAGCGCAACAACCCAGCTCAAGCTGAATAGAATAACAAAATTTTAGGTTATTTCATTCACTAATCTTTTTTAAAGTTTATTTAAATGAAAATTACACTTTACAAAATTCAACAGATAAATCTTCTTTTTTCCTTCAAAATTCCTCGAACATGGCAAAGTCTAAAACAGCTTATTATCTTAGTAAAACTAGGCTTAATTATTCCACTCATTCCCAGGTTAGCAAAAATCAAATCAAATTGATGACCAATCTACAACCATTATAAGAATTTTAAAAGCAAAATAAGGTTTAGTTTGCAATGTCCCAAATTGAAAACCTAAACGTTTGTTCTAATATATCTCCGCAGTTAGTTTTTTTTCCCTTGACCCCTAATTGAGCTTCAACCTAAGGGTAAAGTTGGGACCTTTTTATCGAAAAATTTGGGTAGAGTTCACCATTTCAATAGTAAACGTAAATACAAGATAACAGTATCAATGGACTTAAAGTTCGAAAAATTGCAAAATTGACCAATTTCGGATAGTACACTGACAAATTTGGACCTTTTCTAAAGTAAAAGAGTAAACGTTGAAGGAAAAACTCACTGCGGAGACGCAAAGGGCATAGTAGAAGAAGAAGCCTGGACTTTTACACCATAACTATGACTAATCTTCTTCCTCTGCAACTTTACAACTCCAATTCTTTCATCGACCCTTTTGAGGTTAAGACCCAACGGCGCCGTTAATCTGTGGGAAGGCGCCGCCATTGCAATTTCTCTTTACGAAAATGCCATCGATAAACGTAGAATGAAGGTGAAAGAGGAAGTTTAGGGAGTGAAGTGTATGAAGTTCAAAGTTTAGGGGGGAAGAGTGAAAATGGGAAGAATGAGATTTTGAGGAGAGAAATTCGGGGAGAGAATCTTTGAGTGACTGCACTTTCACAGCCAAAAAAAAAAAGGATTGATCTGAAAATTGTTGACGGTGAGCCTGTAAAATGGCCTTATGGATTGCTGCTAAAAGAAGTACAGTATTTAATTTAATTTATATAATATATATTCGGAAACACGAGGCCAAGAGTGGGTCCATAGGCTTTGGCTTTGTTTCCATTTTGCCACATTAGATTTGTCACGTGTCACTTGAGGGAATCAGCGTGGGCCCCTTTTCTCGAAGTACTTCCAAATGGCAAATCTTTTAATTAATCTCAATTGAATGTCATAGGCGTATTATTCTGAATTATAACAATAGTCAACCTCCATTTTAGTGCCACTAGGAGCTACTCACAAAAATTATTCATTTCTGTAGCAAGAAATAGGAAAATAATGAGATTGAATTAGATTCTTTAAAATGAAACTTGTCACAAATATACTCCCTTTGTTCCTATTTAGTTGTCAGAGTAAGTTTTTATATCCCTTTAAGAAAATATTACTAATAAAAAGAGTAATTTGACTACTTTATTTCTTATTAATTTTTAAGTTTTGATCATATTAATCTATTCAATAAAGAAGTGAACTTTATTTATCTGCCTCTTAATTCTAGATCAATTAATGCTAAGGATAAATCTAAAAAAAGTATAATTCATTCTTAATTTTTAAAAATAATATATATTTAGGAATAACTATTTTAATAAACAGAACAACTAAATGAGAATGAAAGAAAATAATATTTAGGAAGAAAGAGCGATTTCGTTCTTGATGTAGCTACAGGGATGGAGCTAAGTGGGAAGAAGGGCCGAAGAAATTATATAGATATTGAATTCTTTTAATTTTTAGCGTATTTAATATTTTTTATTTTCTTAGTAAAAATTTTGTTTTCGCTACTACATAGCTGTTGCCGTTTGTCTGGTGTAAGTTGCCGACTTGTGAGGTCAATAGTACATTAGTTCGAATCCACAACAACAAAGTGTTGCCATGATGTGGCAAAAGAAACATGCTGACGATGAAACCCCAAACCCGCACATGACTGCTGACACATTTTTCATGGTGAAAGCAAGGCCACAGCCCACATGTATGTACATATAAAAAGAGGACAAAGAATAAAAAGTTTTCACAAAACAACACACTTTTGAACTACAAGTAGTAGATAATCAAATCAAATATGGTATGTCGTATGTGTCTGGATAAGGTCAAAATGATTCGTTTGCAAAACATTCGGCAGAGTTAAGGGGCGAACAAATTTTCAAACCCCACAAGCCTAGATTTAAGTCTAAATCGTGGAGGTGGCGATACACTCGCACAAAATCATATGGTTGCCGACTTGGCATTGCCAAATCTAAGAATTGGCCCTTACAAACTTCTCGGAACCAACCATATCAGTCATTCAGCCTTACGCCACTAATCAGGTCTGGTAAAAGACTCTTGGTAAAAATTAAAGTCCGAATATATAACACTTACTAACTACTATTATTAATATTAATATTAATATATGTATAAAAGACGATATGTTACATTTATTGATTTTGATATAAATATAAAAAATAACTATTTACCAAGAACGTCATGCTTTGATGTTTGAATATTTTAACACAGTCCCACACACTTGTCTCTCTAGGTTAACAGCCTTCGGATCCAGAAACTTTTCGTGTAGCTCCGAGCTGTATTTCTTTTGCGTTTGGATTAAAAAATATTATCAAACTCAAATCCAAAACTATTAGAGTGATATCGGGTTTCAAAACTAATCCAGTTAGTTTCGACTTTCGAGTTTGGTAGCTTGGGTTGATGAATGTGCGAACATACAAGATTAGACAAAATTAAAAATGATAATATTTGATTTTGTGGCTCTTTACAAACTTATTTTTAGTTTTATGACCCTACCCCATTTTTTTACACATGGGAGATTTACTTTTACACGTAAGAGATCTGTATTTTACACATAAAAGATCTATTTTACACATAAAAGATCTAAAAATGTCACTGTCAGTGATTTAAAAACAAAGCCAATTTACATCTATATTTTATACTAAGACCTCACTTTAACTTTGGAAATTAGAATTTTTAAGAAATGTATGTGACTAGAGTCATGATCATCATCCATACGCCAATGAAAGTGATAAGTACATAAGTAAGACTAAACAGAACTCAAACTCAAACCTGTGGATCAAAGAAAGATAAACTCACTACTGTTCCTTTTTATCGAAGAACAATTAAAAGATGGTTATATTTTAACTCTCTCTCTCTCTCCCTCTCTCCATATCTCTCTCCTACGCTCGCAACAAATCTTTATGCAACTGAGTTAGTAAGTCAATTAGCAATTAACATTCTCGTCTATGTATACAGACTCTGTTTGAAGTACAACTTTGAACACTATGCCGGTAAAAATGTTGTGTGGGAGCTCCATCTCGGTGGCTGGAGTTTCTTCACGAGTTTAAGCATCATCAGTCTTAGGCCTCCAAAGCTACTACAATTTCAAGCTCCTGGCCGTGAATAAGCTCATCAATATCCTTTAACTCTTAAACAGAATATTTCAAATAAAGTCCATCTGCATTACTGTGTCATCAAGGCTTCAGCCACAGAATTTGTTCAGACCAAAAAGGCATTCAAAATTGAACACGTCGAAGATAGGTTAATGCCCAAAGGACTCTATTATAGCAGGGTGTCTTATATACAAGCAAAACGTCTTGAACAGCAATCTTTGATCCTTTCTCAATCTGAAAGCAACTCATCTAACTCAGTCTCCTCAGACGTGAAAGGGTCATAGTCAGTACTTGTTTCATTGGACAAAGCTTCAACTTGGGATCTACTAAGTGAAACTTCGCCTGGAGGGCTATCCACATCATCTTCATACTCGGGATCAGACATTTCAGGCTCATAGTCTACATTTTCGTCGTGAACTGCCTCAACATCTTTCTTTGCATCATTATTGTCTTTCTTCTTAGCTACATTGCCTTTACCAATTCTTTTACGACCCCAGTCCATTTTTGATTCAGCCTCAGAATCCGCACATATGCACGCTGATGGATTTTCATGAAACTCACCCCTCCCTGGCCTCACCTCCTTGGGCTCCCCCAGGAATCCTCTTTGAAATGTATGAACTTTAGATGCAAATTCCTCCCATGTCATGTTATTTCTGTTTAGGAACACACGATATAGTTTCTTAGCGTTTGGGCGAATGGTAGGTTTATGACCGAAATATCTCCTGCATCCAAAAGAGATGATATATTAGCCAGATTCTAAATATAATTTGAAAATAAGTTGAAATACCAGAAAGGGAATCAGCATACCTTCGTCCTGCTAAAATTTTTGCCATGTTTCCATTGTTATTGGTGACAAATACATCACTTTCATCACAAACTATGAAGTCAAGAGCAGCCATTCTAGAAGAAAATGCAGAAAATGGTTCCAACTCTTCCTTGCTGGCAATAGTGTCCTTGGAATAGAAGTTTGGAAACATGGCCTTTAATGGAGCCAATGTCTCTTCACCTCCATATACTTCACCAGATGCCACATAAATATGAACATCTTTGCCATATCCAAGTGCTCTTAGCATCAAGCCCACTTCTTCAGGAGTAAGAGGGCATCTTCCTTGCCTCCTTGCCCTATCCGGATTGCTGTTCTGCACATGTATCAAAAAAGAGTTTTACACACACTTCAGTCTTTTGAGTAGTCTATCATAATAGTGTGGAAGAAGGGCAAATTGCATCCATTAACCCAAAAACATCCTCATAAAGCAATTCTGTCTCTCTTTTGGTTTGTGTGTGTGTATTCACATTTCTTTACTGCTTCTCTGAAGCTCTCACACACACACACACACATAAGAGAGAGAGAGAGAGAGAGAGAGAGAGAGAGAGAGAGAGAGAGAGAGAGAGATCTAGGCCTCACAAGGATGACAATAATCCAGTTTATTTCCCAGATTATCTAGTGTTACTCTGATTCTCTTTTTGATAGATCATTCACCTTGTTTTATACAAAATCAAAAAACTGAATAAATACAGAAAACTTCAACACATAAGTGGAACAAACAATCAAATCTGTAAAGTACATGTCATGATGATTCAATATGAGAAAATGACCAAAAAGCTGAATACTCTTGGGTCTCACATGTAAAGTTTTCCACCTCCGCCGTATCTTTCCCAGTTCTGTCCTCTCCTTATCCCCTCCACCATAATAGCATCCCGAGAATGCAAGCATATCAGGTTCAAACCTGTTAACAATACACTATAAGAAAACTTTTCCAACTCTAGAATTCCCAAACTGCAGCAAATCATTTCCTCCCATCATCCAAATTTATTGTGTCACCAAAAAAAGAGAATACATCAGGCAAACAATAAGCTTCTCATAAAAAATGACATACAGCTTGTCATCATGGTAATTCTTAGCCAGTCATCTCATACGTGATAGAAAAATTGTTCAAGGACCAAATTCTTCCTACAAAATCATCATAAGTTACAATCCAAACATAAATTCATTTCAGCCAAGGAGCATCTGCGAACATTGATTATTATTAGGCAAACTCTTTAGCTTGCTGAAGGGTGATAGCTACAAATAGCATAGCACTATGAGAAACACATGAAATACAACACACTATGAGTAATGCTCAGGATGTTATATCAATTCTGCACTTGAAGGAGATAACTAGTGGTAGCCATAAGGAAATGGAGGACAACATGAAAAGACAAACAGAAAATCATAAAATCATGACGGATCATATGACTAACCTTAGGTGAAGGGCAATATAATGCTTACTACTCCGCCTCATTCGCTGGACCAATTTCTCACCCATTTCGAGTATAGGGTCAGAAAACTTCAGGGCATGATAATTAACTCTGCATCTAAGCTTTTGCAAATCTGTATCCAGCTTATTTGCAAGTCGATAGTCAAACTTGCTGATCTGTACAGCCTGTAACAAGAAGCAAACTGCTTATACAGGTCTGAGATATCAACAATAAACAACACTAATAGACAGCATAGAGAAAAGAACAATCCCCTGTCCTCTGCAACCAATACTAAGCTAGATAATTTCTAATTTTTGCAATTGAGGATTGGTTTTCCTACTGACTGTACAGGCAATTGTAATTCTTTTGGGTTAAGACCCTTAAATAAACGTATTAGAGTTATTGAAGCCTTGGGGCCTAGTTCTCTTGACAAACAATATTCAACCATCTAAGACTGATAAACTTGACTGAACATAGCAACAACAATTTCCTCGACCTCCCACCTAAAAAGTTATAACAAAATTTGGATACCTAAAAGATGTTTGATGGAAAGCTTTCCTCATGCATCCAGTGGGTAAAAACCCCTCTTAGCATCCCAACCAGTTACCAGCTGTACAAAGTATTAAACTTGGACATAACATAACATAGCAATCCTTCTCTTAAGTTATGAGCTTCAATGAGCTATACTACTCATAATCAAGCTAATTCATGATTCATCAAAAGTTTTAACAAATTTACTTTCATGTGAATCAGTGATCACTTTCGCAAAGTATCAGTAAAAACTTAAACTTTGCAAGAAGTTTCAAGCAGTACACAAGTATCTAGTGCCTCAACTCCTTAGTCCAGTAAGTTTTAGAAATTCAGTTGCAACAACAGAAAAGGATGCGCAGATTTTCAAAATCTTAAGGGTTTCATAGCCAGACTACTGAGATTGAATGTAAATACTCCAAAATAGCCAGACTGCTGAGATTGAATGTAAATACTCCAAAAAAGGAACAAGCAATGACTCAAAGTACGCTAGAGAATTAACAAAAGTGCGCTTCTCAGATGTGTTTTTATTCATCCACAAATTACTAAGAAATATAAGTGATTTGAAAACTCACATGTTTTTTCATGAGTACAGGCAGTACACGATTTATATAGCATTTCTCACTGCACTTTCTAGGAACACGCATTCTATATGGCGTCCATATCTGCCCTCTTCTAAGCGGAAGGTCTTTTAAAATTGAAACATCTGTTGTTAGATGTTTTATAAACCAATCAACATCAAATATGTCAGAGAAGTCACTGCAAGAGAAAAGTAGAGCATTTCACGTTCAAAGTTATATGCAAGATCATTAGCATATTAAATATACATATACAGTAAGTTCAGTGATGGTTAGAGAAACCGATATGCAAGAAAATACTGAATCTTTCTTCTAATACTCACCTAGAATCTTTCCAAAAAGATGTCTTGTCCAATTTTGGAACAACAAGAGTAGCATTTAAAATGCGAGCAGCAACAACGGCATCAGTTATCTGCCATAAAGATGGTTTAACTATTGAAGGTTCCACACTTTTCACATTTTGTAGTTTGGTTCCAGCAGAAAGCTAAAGTACACAGGTGGTAATAGAAAAGAGTGCTAATTCAAAGGGCCATATATTAGAAAAGGCATAGATGTGTGTCACTGTTCAGTGAGTTATCATAATCATGTTACATAGAGAGGAACCGATTGCTCAATTTATAAGTATCTCGAACCTTAGACTCATAAGGCATGAATACAGATAATTTAGAGAGTATTTGACAACCCATAGTTAGCATGAACTGGTAAATCATAAGTGTATCTTCTGTAGCCAATTTAACATAAAAGTGCAAATACCTATAGCTCACTTATCAGATTCCAAATCATGATTGTACAGACATATTTGCTATCATGGTATATGAAAATTGTACCAGTAATTCATAATCATCACTTCTCTGTCACATCAAATTAGGTGCATCTTGAGGTGTAAAGAATCAATGATCAATCAATCAATAAACTACGCCTTAATCCAATATTAATTGCAGTCGGTTTTATAAATCAAGGATATCTTGCAAAAAGTAAACATTTACAACAATAATGATACGACAGAAAGTTGAAAATTGCATACGTAATTCAGCAAAACTTGAGAAATCATTAGATATTGTGTCCCATCAGCTGCACAAAGCTTCTCCACCTACTGGTATAGAGTACCTCATAATACATGGGCATCGTTCACTGTGAAATGCAATGCCTTAAATTGTCGCTGAGTTGCATGTGCTGAAAACAATACCAACAACTAAGCCTCAATACTTAACTAGTTTGGTTGGCTACATAAATCTTCTATACCTCCACCTTCATTTGGGCCTCTTTATTCCAATACTCAGTAATTTGTTCTTTTAAGACAATTAGGGATGCCGATGTTTCAACCCAGGTTCTGATGTAGCGGGCGTCTCCAAAAGCACTCCAAGGCATTCATTAGATGATATTCATCATGAATTGGCTAGTTTTACAATCGCGAAGATAACGAAATATTATTCCTTTATTTAAGCTTGCATGTACATTAACTATGTAAAAACAAAGACTAAGTTCATTTGAACTGCACTATGAAACATGACAACCACTGTAACAATTATCTCAATCAAACTAATGCTGGAACAAAAACAACAACCAAAAAAAAGAGTTCTTTGATCAAAATTTCATTCCTTGTTAGTCAACAAAATAAAGCAGCAATCATATTCAATTCGAAAAGCCAGTCCGGAATCATTTTCTTACCCCAGTTCTTTGTTGGTTAAGACCTCCACTGGTCACAATCAACAAGTATCGATTTGGACGTGTGATGGCTTGGGCTTCTGCAATTTGAAATAGTACAAACACATAATGAGATTTCGATTATCAAAATTAACTTCATACAATAATTCCTTTAGATTTAAGTTACATACACACACAGTGCATTGAAGCTTTTACACCATCAGTGTATTTCAACCTATTATAACAGGACCGCTTATTCTAAGTTATCAATATGCCATTAAATTGAGTTACCTGCGATAACTTTTTAACTGACATAATTGTTCAAATACTTTTTATACTATAAGTGCATAAAAACTTGAATTCATTCCTTTATTGCTACGTAAACATACTATAACAGGCTGATTACTTTTTTCCAGAAAATGAAAGCTATAAACAAACAAAAGTTACGAACTTGCAAATTTACTGCTGGCATTACTGCATCCATAGAAGAACTTCGAATTTCTCGAACTCCAGAGATCACGATTATTAACTCCTCCACTGATCTAGATCTCAACAACCAATAAACAACATTTAGAAACCTTAGATCCAATCAAATAAAAACTTTACAAATAAACACAATAAAATTGGGATTAAATCCTAACCTTAACACGAAATGGAGAAACTGCAATCTCATTACCACTACCTTTGCCTCCCTACAAACTCCAATCTCATTAAATTAATACTGGCCGTACTTTATCTTATTTGAATCAATCAACTAACTAAGCCTCAATCCAAAACTAGTAGGAATCAGCTACATAATTTGACATTTAACATTATAAAATTAATATGCAGCTATTAATTAGATAAATAAATAGCATTTGATCGTGAGCATGATTTGATAATGTACCAAGGAAAGATCAGCATAACGACGGGGGTGGCGGAGGTGATTATCATCATTAGGAGACGGCGCGAGGATTAAGATGAAGAGGAATAGGACGAGGAGAAAGGTGGAAGCAGCGTAAATGACGGGGATTAGAAACCGCCGCGCACGGCTGTGATGCTGGTGGCGCCGCCGTGGGATCGCCATACGGCGGCGGTTGTGATAGAAGCTTTGAGTTGACTCCTCGTCCTGCAATGGCCCCGTTAGCGGAGCAAGAGGAGAGGGTTTAGGGGTAG